TAACGCATAAAAGTAGCGTTGAGTTCCAAATTAAAATTAAAATAATTTGCCGCCGCGGTTTCGCTTCGCAGACGACGCAATTTTGGGGATTTCGCGTTGTTGTTTTGCAAAGGACGGCTAAGAAATGTACCAAGTTTTAAAACACACGTGCTGGGCTATTGTTCTGCCAATTAGATCTATTGTTTTTCCACGTTCTCGTTGCCGTCGCCGACGAGGTTTACTTAAAGTCCCCAATAACTCTACCCGAGGGAATCATTTAAGCGATAAGGGTACTTACTTAAGCTGTCTGTCGATTCGCCGTTTTGCTTTTCAGAAGTTTCTCCAGCTTAATCTTTCTTGCCGCGGGTTTTTTCTTTGCCAATTTTCAACAAAGCGAGATAAAAAAAAAACGTGAAAATCGGGAAAATCTTGATGCATCGTCATTGACGCCAGGAGGTCCCGTCTTTCCATTGGTTCGCGGTTTCAGGAGGCGAGATAATCTCTTGGCGTACGGCGTAGCTCTAGTTGTCTACAAAACTTTAGGGGCTAAAATCTCGCATTTGATTTTGAGAGGAATACATCCGCTTTGAGCGAATTTATAGGGTATGTAGATTTCACCGATTTTCGTGAGAATTCGCCAAAACATTCCAGGGATAATGACAAACGAAAATGTGTCGGGAGATTTTGATATTTGAAATATTTTTCACGTTGTGTCCATTTGCGCAACACGTTTCGCATATTTTACGCTACTCTAACTTTCGATGCGGATATCTAGAAAACCAATCAGAATATCGGAAAAGCCAGACACACTTTTGTTGATTGACGCCTACCCGATAAATCATGAATAGAAGGACCCTTTGTTGTTTCACGTCTTACCGGCTCCTGATACTCCCTAAATGAAAAAATCGCCAAAATTAAATTTTTATCGTAAACTGCATTTCTTAAGCCTTTTTTTTATGTATAGTTTGTTAAGGTTTTCTTGAAACTAGGGCGCGTACGAATTTTTTTTTCCGGAGGACACTCGCGAATGTGGGAAGTAACATTAAGACCTAACTAGTTACACGCGGCTCTATAATCTGATGAAACATCCGCTTGCAAACTGAATTAACCAATCAGACGATGCGCACTATGTTCATTATGTTATAAAACTAAATAGGAAAGCTTTTTGAAGGGGGGCGGCTGCGAATTAGCAAAATGCAACTGAAATAAGTCATAACTACTGTAAGTAACAAGCCATCGCGTTGCAAATCACACTAACGAGCAAATGAATGACGAAAGTGATTCTTACTATGTAACTAACATGTTCTTACAGTACTGACCAAAGGACGGGACAATAGTATGAAATGCCCTCTTCGTCGGAGGCCTGCTGAGGTATTTAAATGCCCTACTAAAAAACCGATGCAGTTCTGTGTAGGGATTGGGATCAAGCGGTAAACGTGTCTATTCAGAAGCTTCTTTGAAAGTTGCGACTCAAGCCTCGCTACGCCAAGAAAAAAATAATATCCTGTAAGATGACGAGTTCAGAGTACAAGCTTACAGCCGACGAGGGATCCTCGACCATCCTGTGGTGTGCTAGCACCGCTTGCAGGAAGACAGCGCGACAAACCACGGGTATTTAGGAATCAACAAGGTAGAAAATAGAAACTTTACCTTTGCCTGTATGGAATCAATCAGAGAGTACTGAGCACCCGACAGTTTCAGTGGAGGTTGGTAAAGAACTGAACGGACTTTGTTGCGAACTATGATTTTTGTCGACATGCAAAGCTTGGATCACGTAGGTTCAATTAAAGGAATCTTGGGGTAGATCCACATGATTTAAGGGCAAATACCTCTGACCGGAATTACGTCACACAAACAATCGATGATATGGGACGCCAATGGTTGAAATGAGTGGCAACAAATAAATCCAAAATCAGGAAAGGGCACTTGATATTTGGCGCCAGCTGTCACAAACAATATTTTGGACAAATTCCAACTATTGTTTACCAAAGACGACTTTTCGAAAAGTGATTATCTGTAAGATATCACTTGCTATTGCGACAAGTTTGCACAACAATGCAAGGGGTTTCGCATGGTCTTTGCGAGCATTTGCGAGCACGCGGGCAGTGTTTATTTTTGCGAGCACGAGCAGTTGTCAAATTATCCTTGCGAGCAGCGAGCACTCCCGGGGGGGTACTCGCATGTATGGGCCATGTAGGTATAGGTACGTGCCGCGGAATAGGGTATGGTTTTTGAGGTTCTCGGTCCTTAAATAGAGTATCTTTTTTGACCCTTTTGTTTCTGTGTCCACGGTGTGGTCCTTAGATAGGGCAGCTTAATTATATTATCTAATTCTGGAGTGTGAAAACGCCCGCCTAAATGCACGATTATTTTTAAAACTTGATGTATCCGTTTAAGTATTGTAACAAAATGATTTTGCAACAGAGGTTTAATAGCCGTTAAGCGGGTAAATACACCANATTTGATGCACAATTCCACCGGCTATGTTCTAAAACAATTGGTTCATGCTTTCAGCTGTGCACTATCGAGTTATGGAGCACGTGGGAAGTTTGGAGAGCACTCAAGAAGCTAGAGTTGCCCTCGGCTATCGCCTAGGGCAACTCTTACGCTTCTTTCGTGCTCTCCAAACTTCCCGCGTGCTCCATAACTCGATAGTGCACGCTAAGGCATGAACCAATTGTTAATCGAAATGATTAAAGCAACATTTCAATAAAGAATTTCGGGGAAAGCCCAAACGACCGAGGGTTCTTATTAATGTTTTGTTTAATTGGATTTCGTATGCCACCGTTTGTCATCAGATTTTAATAGTCATTATTACTAGTGGCCCGGAAGCTTCCATGGTTGAATAATACTGTTACAAAATGCGATCCGAGTACACTGCTTCAAAATATTGACTCCGTCCATTTTACTTCCCATTGCACAGTGGAAAATACATCATGTCTACGAACCCTGATGATTTTTTTCCGGTCTGATTTTCGCTACTACTGATTTTCTCTACTGCGAGGATCGTGCATCATACGTATCTAATACCGCAGTTCAAAATAAATGAACTTCATATATTTATTGTATCTGATTTATCATCACGGGTTTATTACGAATCAACTTAACGACCTGCTCTCAATTGGCTTGTACGTTAGCTCAATATTGGTAGAGCGCTGCACTAGTATCGCAGAGGTCAGTTGTTCGAATCCCGTACAGGCCTGATTTTCGCTATTGCATAAGTAGCGCTCTCTACTGCGAGGATCGTGTATCATACGTAAACCCTGATAAGTTGCTCAAATAAATGGGAATTTAGATCAACAAAGGTTCACAAGTAATGTCTCCACAGGAGATTATGTCACCTCCTGTTATGTCGAGCTTCCTATCAGAATTCCCTGGTAAATAGATCGTGTTACAGTCTCGTTTTCCTGTTCAAGCGAAAGAAGGTTTAAGTCATTGGGTAAAATACCCGGGAAACTGGTCAAAGAAACAACTATTGTAAGGCTAGCTTAAAGCAATGAAAGCGAATCTATTGAGGGAAAAAGCAAAGCCAGTATTAACAGAAATGAAATATTTTGGGTACTTGTTAATAACCCAAGAAACAAGTGAATTGATGAACGATCACATATTTGAACTGCGCAACTGTACCCCTCTCAAGCAGAAAGCCTGCGACCATGAAATATGATAAAGAATAAATCAATAAGCGAAATGCTTGTCATGGAGCTTCGTGCGTTTTTCCGATAATACATACAGCGCATCCAAAATAGTTACAGGATGAACTGTTGAAGAAAGACTGAAGCCCGAGGTAGAGATGTTTCAACCTTTTTGTTTTAACCCATATCATAACTGATTTATCGTTTATATATGAACAAAAAATAACTACAAAGCAGGATTAACGAAATTTCGAGCAATCGAGCTCATGTTAACTAGAATGCGAGCATGCGAGCAGTTGCATAAATTTTGCGAGCACGAGCAAGCGAGCACCCGTGTAATTTTTGCGAGCAGTTCGAGCAAAGGCCAAATTTTGCGAGCACTTGTAAATTGAATGGGACCATTCGATACCCCTAATGCATGGATGAAAGTTCCTCTTAAACCTGTGTCGCTAGAGGTTACTGCAGTGGACCTATCTGTACATTAACCCACAATTTTAGGTGGGCAGTTCAGACTGCTTAAGAACATATTTTCTAATTGTTTTGTCTCGACAAGCAGAGTACACTGCGTTAGCCGAGCGACAAATATTATAAACTGGGTCGGAATCGGGTCCGATCAACTCCCAGCTCGTCACTTCTTCGCTTCTTCCATGCCCCAACATTTTCGCACTCCAACAAAAACACGCCCCATCTCCTGAAACATAACACAAATATAAGTTTTCTGAAGTTGGAGGGAAGTCTGTCTGTTTATCTTTACTTCTCCTTAAAAGGCATATTTTGAAAGCGATTGGGTTGGATTTGGAAAAGTACATTCCCCCACACAAATCCTTGCCACACCTCTAGAGTCAAATGTGGAACATTCATCCTACTTTTATGCCACCAGTTTTACCCACAATGCCAACAGGCTTTTAAAAGATGACATAGCAGGACAAGGAATTCAGGCAAACTGGGAGCTAAAGCGTAAGTGGGATTCAAGGAGAGCTTGACTGTGCCCTGTTTTTTTTTTCCTGTGATAACATACAGCCTGTAAAAGTCCTGCTCCTGGTTTCGATATCAACTGATAAAATACTCATAATAACCTTAAATACTCACGCGAAGATGCTAGAAATCCATGATCCCCAGTGATTGATAGAGAAAGTATGGGTGAGGATGATCGGCGAAACACGCCAACTGGAAAACTGGAAAAGTAAACAACACAGATTTGAACTCCAAAACATCCCTAAACTTGAGCAATATAAGATCAAAAGGTAAACGTATATGAAAAACACACCTGCATCCCAATCCCGCGACTTATCCCTTTCCTGTTTTTTTTTTTTTTTGTCCCTTCCACAACACGTGTTCTAAATCAGGCCTGTATACTCTTTTCCAGAATTGTTAGCCTCTTTTGAAACTGCTGCCTTCCTCCAAAAATGCCTTATTTACTATCAACTGGAAATTGATGGAGGATGTTAAACTACCATAGTAAATTTTTTAAGGCTGGTGTTTCGAGTATAAACCCTTCGTAAGAGATACGAACCTCTCCGTTATCACACCCACTTCTCACAGTTTCCTTACTCGGGTCAATACAGCATGTGTTGCAAGAGCTCTCACCACCCCATCTCTAACAATTCATGGTCTCTTTAAAATTCTTGCAACTACTAACCTTGGAGATCTAACATCTACAATCCACAAAGAACCATCTTCTGTTCCACCAACAGCTTCGTATTCCGACAAAAATGCACAGCAGTTCACAGCTGACGAACATTTTACCTGAAAAACCTGATAACGTAGAAATTCAAACTGTCTGTGTAAAACGTCTTTCTCTTCGTTTTGTTTCATTTCTTTTGTTTGTTTTCTTTTTGTCTACCAAAATCAAACACTTCAAAACAAGAAAAGAAAATAATAAGAAAGAAAAAACAGCAACGAAACTGAAGTACAGTGTTGGAAATCGTAAAAACTTAAAAAATTCAATCTAGTTAGGCGTCATGCATATAAATTCAGTCTAAACTTCCCTAAATGTCAATCATAGCCAACAAAAAGAAAACAAACAAAACAAAATAAGACAAAGAGTAAATTTATTCTTAATACAAGTGAATCCCTGGAAACAAGGCTGTGAAGGTAGGTTAGTGACCAGGTAAGAAATTTGAAGTCTCTTTGATTGGTAGGATAAAAATCATTGTACACTTGTATTTGACTTGAATCAAAAAAAGGTCATCAAGGCTCAGGATGTATTTAAGATAGAGTAATTTATCAAGTCGGCCACAATGTACCTTTTCCTTGTTACGTACGTCCACACCTTCAAGAAATCCGTCTTCTTTGGCGAGTATAAGTAATTTACCCTCAGTTCCAACCTCCCGCTCACCTTTAAAGTACAACACCACAAATAGAGAATTATTACTACATTTTGGCTACCACTGTTACTACAACACATGATCACTACTTGCTTACACTGGGCTATGCTTTACAAATTCTACGAATGGATAACTGTCAACAATTTTCAATACTTTTTTCCTCAGCTTTCATGGCAGTGTTTCAGGAAAATTCTTTCCAAATCCTTAGGATGGTACTTCTAAATTTAAGGTGTGTGTGAGTAGGGTAGAGGGGTAGGGAGTTTCTGGAAAGCCTGAAACCTTAATAGAAAATATATGGCAAACCAGAATTTATTTAGATGGAGGGGTGATACTTAGCTCCCATTTAAAAAGAAAAAAACAATAATCTATATTTTAAAACTGGCATTTTCTCTCTTCATAATATCCATGTCACCATATTACAGACTTACTACATTGGTTGTCTGACTCAGGAGTGTTTTCCATTCCTTGAAGCTGGGTCAATGTACATGAGTTCACAGGACAGTCACCACTTGACACAACTGCCAAACACTTGGCTTCTCCACAATCCCACAGCCGTACAGTTCCATCTCTAGAACATGCTTTTAGAATAAAACAACCAAATAACAGGACATTTCATGGAGCACATCATTTGCATGAATTGGGGTTAGTGGAAATTTTGAATGTGGCAGGTAGTTGCCTCTTGTTGAAGAAATTCTTACAGATCATAGTAACCTTTAAGCTCAGTCATTGAACATTTTTTAAAGTGTGGCAACAAAAGCAAATCTGAGTTCCCTTTCAGGATTCTGATTGTGTGGAATTTTTGAGACAATAAAGAGACTGTGTCGTTATGAATTTTGGATCAATGCTGCCAAGAAAAGAGGCCTACCATGAAGCCTACATAAGCACACCTGGCTATCCAATCAGAGTTTGTGCATGATTTCATTATTAAGTAGTTTACTCTACCCTGAGGCTGATTTATCAACAATTGAGTAAAACATTTTGGATCTTTAAAGAAAGATCATTAATTTTTTAATAATCACTTACATAAAATATTTCTTCCTCTGTCAACAATAGCTGTATCAACAACTCCTACAAATTACCAGTTAAGAATAAAAGTTAAATTAAATGACAAGGAAAATGATGACCACCTAACAAGCAACACTTAAGAAAAGTTCTTTAAAATTTCTCAAGTGGGGAGCAGAGATGGTGCAGTGTCAAGAGTGCTTGCCTTCCCCATTGTGGCCTTGGTTCGATTCCCAGACTTGGCATCACATGAGGGTCGACTTTGTTGCTGGTTCTCATCCTGGCTCCTGGTTCTCCAGTGTTCCACCCTCCACAAAAGCCAACATTCCAAATTCAAACTTGATCTGGAATAAGTGGACTGAAGGAGCTACCTAGTGGAATGTCCATTGCCAAATTCCCGCTTAGTTTCCCATTTATTTTATTATCTAAATTTTCTGGCTGCAATGTTTTGGCCATACAATAAGTCTATTATCAAACTACATAAGTTTGTTTAGTTAACTCGTTCACAAATCTCCAAATTTCTTGAGATCTATACCTCATCAATTATTGTAAATCATGTCCAACAGTACTTAAAGTTTGATTTATTTGAGTGGAGTAACTTTAATATCAACCATTCCTGCAAAAAGAAGATGAATGATACAATTTGCCCCTTAGTACCTCCTGTATGGCCCTTCAATGTCACAGGACAGCTTCCATCTTCTGCTGACCAGATTTTTAGCCGCAAATCAGCACCACCACTAAGAACAACTTTTCCAGAAGGAAAGAATTTACAAGTATTTACATCTGAAATGTGACCTTGAAGATTGTGCTGCAAAAAACAACAGGTACCTTACAAATTTAAAGAACTTGTAAACTGAAGGTATTGGTTAAAAAAAACTTGTTTAAAGCAAGGCTAAATCTGTTTGTGAGGTTTTATGATTAAAAAAAAAAAGAAGAAGAAGAAACCCTTTCAGATCTTTCATTTTCAATTGTAGAATTAAAGGTAAGTCTAAGATGAACACTATTTAAAATAAATCTTAATAATTATGTGATCTGTTAAGAAACAGATTTAGGTTGGGAACAGTATTGAGGAAATAGTGTTTTTTTTTT